GTTGTGCAATTTACTTTCTCCTCTAGGTGGACACTCTGATAATGATCGACCAAACTGGTGACACACAAAAAAAACAAACACCTTGTAATAACACAATTGATTTAAAAACTACCAGCCGTTTTCTAAACGCTTTTGTTATTCGCAGACAAAGAGGCAAAGCTCTATTTTGTATTTTGACTAGCCTTGGAGAAAAGAAAAAGAACGAAGACAGTTAAACGCGATCCATAAATGCAATTTTTCAAAATAGAGATTCGGAACAAAAGCAAAACAAAAGTTTGTTGCTTGTGGGTGTCGCCAGGCAGCGAGGAAGCGCCTGGAATCGTAAGTGAGGCAGGGAAAGATCTTTTCCAGTGACATGAGACAGGAATGGGAGGGCTGGAGTGTTGGAGGTGGAGAGGAGGTGGTTAACACAAGAGGCTAATGATAAGTGCTCAGCAATTGTGGTGGGCTAATGGCCCACAGACAGGGCTACTTTATGATCACTCATCTGCGTTTCTCGCTGCCACCCTGACAAGCCTCAACATAAAGAAACAAGCCCCTGTTCAAAGGATGGGAAACCACTTTCCTTACTTCCTCGCCTGCCGCACTACCCACAGTCCCTTTTTACTACGTGGAAGTTTTGAGTTCACCTCAGTCCCCACTTATCAGATCTGCTCGGCTGCGTCTGAAAAACTCGAATCTTACGGTGGAAACAAAAGCGTTGCCTACGCGTTCAAACATACATCCACCCTGAATAACCCACCAGCTCAACTCTACACACCACGACAGAAGACAAGAGGGGCGGGTTAAAGCCCCAGAATGAAGTGTAGAACTGCTGCCAGAGCAGCATGAGTCACGGCGGAGAGGGAAAAAAAAGATAATGATACAATTGAAAACACCTGAACCTGCTACAGTGTCAATTAGAGATAATGTCTTTTTACTGGTTTCCACAGAAACCAACTGTTGGCGCAAACACAGATAGATGAAATGACCCTCTATCCTGCCTCCTCTTCTTTAACACTTTCTTCTTTTTTTTCCTTTCTGCATTTCTTTCCTCTCAGACCATGAGCTACACCCAAGACCAAACCGCTAGAAAGACACTCAAACACGTCAAACTGTTCTGCGTACGACTTCCTAAATTCTCTAAGCGCGGTCAACTCCATGACGGGCAGATGCCTGTGCACAGGTGTGGCGGAGAAGAGGTGATTAGGCCCAACTCCAATGGATTTCATTCTGTATGTACTATATGTGATATACGTCATCTTCTGCCACTGCTGTCACGGTACATGTGGATGCACCATCTCTGGAAGCTGACAGGCTGAAGGGGCAGACAGTCCAAGGGTTACGGGGTTATGCTAGGTCATCCATTTTAAAATCGGTCTCCAGACAGACACCAGAGCACCATTACAGCTCAAGACTTTGCCTTTCAGCAGTGAATTTGCCTGCAGCTGCAGCAGCATTACAGCCCAAGGACAAGCTCTGCCTGTCGAGGCTTTGTCCACTCTTCACAGTTAGAGAAGCAAGGTTCAGCTATTAGCATAGTGAGATTAACATTTTCCAGGGCTGGGGGATTTGGAAATGATGTCCTTGTGTGTAAATACAGCCCGAAAACTAAATCACAAACCTCTTTGTGCGGTCTTATTTGATTTTTTTTTTTTTTTGTGCATGCATAACAACTCTGACACTTGCACGTGGAATTGCTGTCGATGCACTTTTTACATTTTGTGGATATCACAATGGCAATTTGTTTTACAGCCATTCAAGATAATGTAGGACAAGGTGAAAATGTAGTGAGGCAGAGAAGGAAAGCTTGAACACAAATGACTTTACTGTTTTGTGTCTGCGCAAAGTCAGATTCGATGGAACAGACATCCACTGTGAAGATTTGAGTGGCCACAAACATGAACATGCAAAGTCATGTCAGCCCTGGTGGTTAAATGAGAATAAGAATTGACATCTACTTCTCATAACGTAAACAAATAATTGGTTGTCTGTGTCTGTCTGTATGTTCTAATTACTTAGTAACAATCTTGACGGATATTTACATAGAAAAAATAAATACTGTACACAGATACTTGCCAGCTACTTCTTATATAACTACTATATGAATTCATATGAATTACCTGAATTTCTAAAATAGTATCTGACCGAATCTGGCAACATTCAATATTCAAGGTAAAAGGGATTTAGGAGAGTTGCAAAAAAAAAAAAAAAAAAAAAAAGAGAAAAAAACAACAACAATAAAAACCCTTCTTTTATGTAATTTCCAGAAAGATTAATAAATCCCAAGGGATTAATACAGTTATATTTATCCATCCATCCATCCATCTATCGATCCATCATCTATCATCCATCCATCCAACCAGCCATCCATCTATCGATCCATCCATCCATCATCCATCTGTGTTTAAGAACTGTATGTGTCGAGTACTTATTAGATTATTAACAGTTTTACTTCAGTCTCACACAGAACCACAACTTTTGTCATATTTTTACAGAAAAACGTCATTTTTACACAAGCTCAACAACAAAGTATACAGTATATCTATGTATGTATTCTAAAGTCTTGCCTTGTGTTTCCATTCTTACCTCTGAGCTCTGTCCGTCTGTTTTACACAAAACTCTAGAGGGATGGGTTCCAAAATGTTAATGTCATTGATTTAACACATGTTTTGTATTTATTTCTGGGCTGGAGACATGGTGTCCCCACCTAGAGACCTTTGGCCTGACAGACAGAGAAATAGAGCTGTCACAAAGTCTGACTGTGCCAAAAGGCAGGTTGCAGAGATAATCAGACCGGAGGAGGGTAGGCTGCACTCTGCAATGTCTTCTGACCTGTGGTCACTTCGTCCTGCTCAATATTTGCCAAAGTTACCATTTGTACTAAATTATTGTCCTCGTGTTAACTGTTATGACCAAAGTTACCATTTGTACTAAATTATTATTTTGGAGCATTTTTTTTTAATTACTCGTGTCCTCGTGTTAACTGTTATGTCTGCATGCATTTAAAAACGCCAGAAAAGTCAATCAAGTTTGAAATGATATGTATTTGTCTGATTGTATGACAGGGAACTGGGGATGTCCCTTTCAAATGGCAAGTTCTCCTTTACTAGGAAATATATAGCTTCACATTTCTATTCACAGCATGCAGATTTCAACAGCCATACACAAACCAAAAAGTCGTAGTAGAGCACAGGTCGCATCGGAGCACAAACCTTAATCACTTATTTTAGCAATCTCAGTTTATAAAATGGGAATATAAGGTGGCGTTTTATTTCATGAATTATGGTACAAACTCTCTTTAACCCTCTAATATCTGAAAAAGCAAGGTCAATTAAAATTAAACTAAAGACACTTGGATACAGAAGCGCATGTTTTTCCATTTCCTTCTTTATTCTCTTACAAATCTCTACAGCTCCCTTTTTTTGTCGCATGTTTTTCCATTTCCTTCTTTATTCACAAAACTCTACAGCTCCCTTTTTTGTGTGTATCTTGTTCTCTCTGTCGAAATTTGAGTTAAGGGAAGAGAGAGTGGCAGAAAGAATCCAGTGGAGGAAGTATGAACTGGTCAACAACTTTCGTTTTTTTTTTTTTTTTAACACCTCAGGAGAAAAGGTACGCCTGGGTTTGCAGCCTGTGCAGATATGGTAAGAAAATAGTGACAAAATGACCTTGAGTGGTCATTGAAGCATGCAGCAGGGGACACAGCCGAACATTAAAATACGACAGAATATTCTTCAAGGGCAAGAGTGTCGGTAAAAGAAAGAGGAAGTAAATTAATTATGACAAAGCCCTGTTCCCATTGCACCCAGAAGACTTTTTCCCTTTCTCTAGAAGACCATTTTGTAAAGAAGAGAAATCATTAGACGGCACTTAGAAGTCGAAAAAAAAAAAAAGCAGATCTGAGTCACAAACTAAAACCTGTGACTACAACCATTTAATTGCAGAAAAAGGCTCTTTGAAGTTGGACCTCGCGGCCGCCGCAAACATTTCCCCCGACTTTACCAGTGTATAAACTGCATTGATTTGAAACATCGTACCTACATTTCAGTTTCCTGGCATTCAATAACCATTAAAATACCCTTCAGTGAATGTGGCACCGGGCAAGTAGCATCGACTGCCACTGGCTTCAATCCCACAATGCACTCCGATGTTTAACTTTTCAAGTGAGGCTCTGGCCTGCGTAGAAACAACCAGTGATTGGAGTTAAATCAGTTTTCTGGCACAATCAGTCGAGTATGATAACGATTCACTAAAATTAAATGAGAAAAACATAAAGAATTAAGCTCAGGAGAGAAGGCATTTAAACGCAATTTGACAGTTTGAGTACTGTTTAGATAAATCTTTGCTTGAGCCCATCACTTCATCTCCACATTAACTGGCCTGTCGGATTGTCTGTTTGCAGTGCTGCTCAACACAATGACATGTTTACCTCTAGTCAGATTCCCATTAAGATCCCTGAAGTGGGAGACAAGGACAGTGTGTGTGTGTGAGTCCCCGATGAAATAACACAATGCCTTGGTGTAGTTTTACCATTTGTTTTTGTGTATTTTAATACTGGAATGGCTCTGATTAGTGGAGACAATTAACATGTGGACATGATTAAGCTTATGGAAACAAAAAATTGAGTTTGCGAGTAAAAGGTTTTAACTGCGGACAAACCATGCAATAACTGTTACTACATCGTGCTCTTGTCGAATGTTTTCAAGTCGCTACGGTTTCCCAGACTGGAGGATCTGGAGCAGAGTAAGACCTGCAGGCATGAGCAGACGAAATCCTGGGATTTGACAGCGTTGGGATGCAGTGACGTGGTGCGAAAGGCAGCACTTCATCACTGCTGCCTTTCAGTCACATTTGACAGAGTATTACTGCGTTCTCTCAGCAGGAGCCACAGTGAGGGGGAAAGTTGACACACACGATTCACAGGAACATCCGAAATATATCACACAAACGCAAGGAACATCCGAAATATATCACACAAACAGAACGCCGACGTGGAATCGGTATCCTCCGAACCTCACCAGTGTATCGATGTCTGTATGCAGTGTCAGAGCCCCATTGTTTGCCTGGCGAACAAACAAATAAATAAAACTGTATGTCAATATAATTGTGAATTTTTTTTAAATAGAGCTGTCAAAATATTGCATTAATTTGGGAAAATAATCAGAATAAAAATGATGATCCACATATGGACATTTCCATGTTAAAAATGGCATCAATTGGATTAGTTACCAATGAAAACAGGTGGGAGACACACAACTACCTGTCGTTGTCTGTGTTTCTGTGTCAGAAATAAACAGAAAAAAGAAAATTTTAAGGAACGTTAATTTAGCTTGATGATTAATTATGATCATGACTAATTTTGATTAATCAAGATAAATTTACAGGTAAACGGTTAGTAATCAGTTTGAATTTTTTATTTTAAATTTTGAAAACACAGGCATATTTTATTGGCTTTAAAATGTCAATTTATCAAGCCAATAAAATAAACGGTTAACACCGCACTGCTGTATAGATTATTGGTGATGTCATCAACATGCATGTTTTGGAGTATTATTGGTCTCGTTAACAATGCACCATATATATGTGTATGTGCATATATGTGTATATATATACACATATATGCACCTATATACATACATATATACATACATATATACACATACATACATACATACACATATATACATACATAAATTTACATATATATATAGACACACATATACATATACTAAATGTGTTGTTTGTTTTTTTCATAATGACACTTAACCTGTAAGGCATGAAGCCGGCCCACTAGACACACACACTGCCAGGACTGTATTATGAATGTGTCCATGAGAAGATTCAGCTCCGGCTCTGACAGCTTTCTCTCAGAGCCAACCCTCACGCTCTTATCTACATGGACATATCTGGCACATGTCGGAACAGGAGCCACCTTCACTAACAGGCCATAGACACACACACACACACACACATCACTGCACTCACATAATTACACCTTCCATGTTTATGTGTGGTGCAATCACTCATCACAAACAGGTGCAAGGAAGTGGAGCCCGCAGACAACGGTATATAAACACTCAAACGTCCGCCGCGTGTTAACTAAATTACGACAAATTAAGATCTTAATAACCTTGCTGACAACAGTCGCCAAATTCAAACCACATTCATACAAAAACTCCACCCACACTCGTGGTGCTGTAGGGAACATACAGCGTGAAGACGGCACAAAGAGCCGGACCTGGGCTGTGACAACGCTCCTATTCATCACTGTGTCTCTGGAGAGTCCACATCGGTTCACAGTGACAGCAGTCAGCAGAGCAGAGCACGTGCTCACATGAACGACTGAACACACACGCACACACACACACACACATTCACATATACATAATATAAAGATCGCAGCCGCAAGAGAACTCATGTCAAAATCCACACCATTCAGACAAGGTTAGTTCTCCTTTTGTGTCCATGCATGTGTGTGTATCTGCGTGTGTGTGTGTGTATCTGTGTGTACTCCCGCCCTCGAAGCCACATATATTATTCATTTACATGCGAGCCCATGAAGGAAACATCTCTGGAAGCAGAGATAATGGGCTTCTTTATTTCAGTCCTTTGGTTGTGTGTGAATGAATGTGTGCGTGTGTGTTCTTATACAGTTGTCTGGAATAAAAAGAGCACGAGGAAAAAGAAAGGCGTAAGGAAAATATAGAAGGACCAACGCTAGGAAAAAAGAAACAGAAGTGACAATACAAATGCAAAATAAGGAAATGACAAAGGCGGAGCTTGAAGTGAGGTTTCTAGTTGACCTGTTTTTTATTTACTTTGCTTTATGTAGAATTCAACACATAATAATATTAACAAAAAAACACGGAAGATCTGCCATTGCAACCAAGCACAGATTCCTCAGCACTGATCCATCCCATGAGCACCAACAAGCCCATACTGCCAGCACCACAGTGGGCTTCAGTCTATCTACAGCAAAGTCTGTATCCATAGCGTTTGCAAAATGCAAACAGAGTATTGAACACACTCTGTTAAAAAAAAAAAAAAAGTACCACATTAGCATTTAAAAATTGTCTCACCATCCAATGTTGCTCTGCTGATAAATCACAGAGATTAGTCATCAGATGGAAGACATGAAATGGACGGGACGAAAAAGTTTGGCAGAGCAGTCAGGGATTTTTTTTTTTTTTTTTTGTTTAAGCCTCCAACTGAATCTACAGTATCTGTAACCCATTTGGGGAAATTACGGAATAAATCCAAGTTTAATCTATAGGGACAAACGGAAGAGATTCAGCCCAGCTGAAATTCACCGGTTTTGGACCAAAGTAGAAACCGACTCCGTTCTTCACAACTGCACAGACTTTAATTATATCCTCCATAATTAACAGTATATTAACAAGCTGAGGGAGTAAAATGATTAAGACAACAACTGTTGATTTCAGACACTATAATCACAACGGTTATTGGCAAATTCAACGAGCTGGAGCTAATTAAAGTTAATTAAGTTTGACTATGACGGAGTCTTGTCTCTATAATAAGCTCACGCTGCATGGCTGCACGTGCTTGTAGATCTTCAGTGGGTGGGTTTTTTATTATCACGTTTAAAAGAATTGCTTTTTCCCCCCCTCCATTTCTTTTATTAAAAGACCAACGTGGGGGAAATTTGGAACAAAGACAGGAAAACGAGCTGCGAAGTGGACAATTCTTAGAAAAGACAGATGGTAAGAAGGGAAGTTTGGAGAGTATACGGAATTATCAGCTATTATTTGAGTTGGTCATGTCTTTGTTTGACACTGTGTGTTTGTTTAAAGCTTATTTATATTTATGTAGAATAAGAAAACAGAACTGAAGTCGACATCAACATGAGAAATTTGGGTCTTTTACGTTTTACTGCAGTAGGGCTGTAATCTAACAATCAACTGGTCCATTTATTGGTCCATACGTTTTAGCTCCTCCTAATTTCAGATTGGTCAATTTTTTTGTTTATATATATATATATATATATACCCTGTTTCAAAGGTAACAAGAACACCCCCCTCTTGTTTGCACTATTTAGTATTAGCCCAATCCACAGACAGGTTGAATAACGTACTAGAAGGTCTGATTACAACCACACATTTACAGAATGGTCAATTTATCGTATTTTTGGCCTTTTTTTCCCAAGATTATCGATCGTACATCGTACCGAGCGCCAAATTGTCATACAAACACGACAATTTTCGTACACCTGCAACAAGATGAGCATTTAGGTTTAGGTGTCGGATTGAATGGTCTGTAGTTGTTTTCGATATCTGAGACGATTGTAAGTATCGAGCCATCCCTACTTTGAACCATATATATCCAATAGAATTCTATTAAACTTATATTCATGAAATAATAACTGGTCTGCCGCTATGAAAATGTGAGGAAATGGTGGCTTTATTGAGTAATATATTTGTGGTTTCTTTAAACCAAACTTTGTTCTTTTTTAAGTGGTAAGTCAGTTTAACCAGTGCTTGTTACTTCTTTAAAATTGTGAACCACTTCTCCACTTTTCACTATTATTAATAGACTTCCTTCAAGAACATTAACTCTTTAGGGCCTCATCTGTCATTAAGATGTCTACAGATGTCTACAGTAAAGACGGTGTGAGGATTGTGTAGGTTTGTTTCTTGCTTTACAGACATCAATTTCAAAACCCTTCAGAGAATTTAACCTGTTAACATACATTCTAATTATATGACCAACGCATGCGTGTGTGGATGTACAGTACGTGGTGGAATACTTGCAGAGAGGTTTCCCCCTGTTTTACGAGACTATTAAAGCCCATCATTTATGTATTAAGGCGACGCGTTGAAGGGACGCTGGGATTTTTTTTTTTCATGCTCGAGTATTAAGGTGTTTTATGCTCCAGTGCCAGGCTTCACCTGTGGGCTAAAACAAATAAGCTATGGTCTGTGAGGGAATTAGAAGGTGAATGCAGAACTACACACGGGCAGCGAGCAGACACAGGTTCGCATACACGCTGAGGAAAAAAAAGAAAGTCGGTCAATGAATAGGAGGGGGCAGACAGACAGCAGGTGCTGTGTTAGTGGAAGATACGGCTTCTGTCCACCTCAGCATTTCTACACACTTAGATATCCCCCACCCTTTACAGGAAAGGTCATTTCTATGTTGGTTTTTTTTTAATTCCCTGCCACATCCTCACCTTAACGCTGCCTCTCACCTATGTCTTTTTTTTCCACCTTTCTTTTCCACTCCACCCTTCTCCTCTTTGAGGTCTCCTACGCTCCCGGTGGAAAAGTCCATTCAGCCGCAAAACAAAGCTGCCCATAGCGTCACACACAGGCTAATCAAGCAAACCCTGTAATACTGGGAAGCACAGGGACCCCGGGAGCAGCAGAGCTGGGAAGCCTGTCATGCAGGGAGAGCAAAATTGAAGTGGTTTAAAAGAACAAATATGCAGCGGACTATTATATTTGATAGGTGTTTGCAGATGATAAGAGCTAAAAGTAATTTTCATTCCAAGGCTTCAGACCGTGGCTACCCGTGCCTCGTCTTAAAGAATTTAAACCATGCAAAATACAGCCAGTGTGACGGCACAATAGAACGGAAACATCGAAAGCGAAGCGGAAAGAGGGCCTGCAGCAGGGCATGGAAGGGAACGGGGGAGATAATGGAGGGGAAAAAGATTCCCGGACAGACCATCACCGGAGAGGCGGTGATGATGAAACCCAACAATGGTCAGGCGCAATCTGCTCCTGGACAGAGGGCCAGCCTTTAGAAACTAGCATACGGGCGGCTCTGGTGTTGTTCAGGGTATATTCACATCAGGACCAAGAAAGCTGGTCCTGCAAGATGCAGAGATAGAAGAGAAATGTAAACACAGCACGGCGGTAACAACAGAAGGATCCATGATGAACAGAGTCAACTTTACTCAGTCAAGTTTGCCTTTGGATTAATATTTACACATGTAGATTCACAAGTGAGTAAGAATACACCAGAAATAAAGAAAGTTGGACGATCCTGAGGCATTAAAACTTCAGTTCCTACAGTCCGATATAACTCAACTTGCAGTGCAAGT